CACAAGCACACCACACACACACAAGCACACCACACACACACAAGCACACCACACACACAAGCACACCACACACACAAGCACACCACACACACAAGGACACCACACACACAAGCACACCACACACACAAGCACACCACACACTCCACACACACAAGCACACTCCACACACACAAGCACACCACACACACACACCACACACACACACAAACACACCACACACACACAAGCACACCACACACACAAGCACTCCACACACACAAGCACGTCACACACACAAGCACACCACACACACAAGCACTCCACACACACAAGCACGTCACACACACAAGCACACCACACACACAAGCACGTCACACACACAAGCACACCACACACACAAGCACGTCACACACACAAGCACACCACACACACACACACGCACTCCACACACACACAAGCACACAAGCACACAAGCACACCACGCACACACAAGCACCCCACACACACAAGCACACCACACACACAAGCAGACCACACACACACAAACACACCACACACACAAACACACCACACACACAAGCAGACCACACACACACAAACACACCACACACACACACAAGCACGCCACACACACACACACGCACTCCACACACGCACTCCACACACACACAAGCACACCACGCACACACAAGCACCCCACACACACAAGCACACCACACACACAAGCACGCACACCGTCTGAAAAATTATACAAAAGCTCGAGACTCGGGAACTGAATTCCACCACCACCACCCACGCTTCGTATTTAACCCGGGCGCTTGATTCGCGCGCGGGTTAAATACGGAGCGGAACGAGTTTGGCGAAGTATGGATTTGCCAGCGGAATGCAATTGGCTCGGGAATACAAAGGGGGGCCGTTGTCAGGGGGGGGGGGGGTGGTGGTGGCTGGGGCGTTTGTGGCCTTGGGGGGCGAGCACACGAGGTGAGGAACAACGGCCCCCCTCTTCAGCGCTGGCGAAGGCAGCGTCTTCATTTAGATCGTAGGCCCTGTTGTAGACTCGGCGGGGTGTCTGTGTGGGCTTTATTGGCTCTCCTCCCATTAGGGGTGGTGGCTATGAGGATAGTTGTGGTGATGACGGTGGTGATGACGGTGGTGGTGGTGGGGATGGTGGTGGTGATGATAGTGGTGATGGTGAGGATGGTGGTGATGACTGGTGGTGATGGGGATGGTGGTGGCTATGATGATAGTAGTAGTGGTGATGGTGAGGATGGTGGTGATAACGGTGATGACGGTGGTGGTGATGGGGATGGTGGTGGTGATGGTGAGGATAGTGGTGATGGTGAGGATGGTTGGTGATGAGTGGTGGTGATGGGGATGGTGGTGATGACAGTGGTGGTGGTGGGGATGGTGGTGGCTATGATGAAGTTGTAGTGGTGATGGTGAGGATGGTGGTGATGACAGTGGTGGTGGTGGGGATGGTGGTGGCTATGAGGATAGTTGTGGTGAGGATGGTGGTGATGACGGTGGTGGTGATGGGGATGGTGGTGGTGATGGTGAGGATAGTGGTGATGGTGAGGATGGTGGTGATGAGTGGTGGTGGTGGGGATGGTGGTGGTGATGGTGAGGATAGTGGTGATGACGGTGGTGGTGATGGTGGGGATGGTGGTGGTGATGGTGAGGATAGTGGTGATGGTTAGGATGGTGGTGATGACTGGTGGTGATGGGGATGGTGGTGGCAGAGATGATAGTAGTGGTGATGGTGAGGATGACGGTGGTGGTGGGGATGGTGGTGGCAGAGATGACAGTAGTGGTGATGGTGAGGATGGTGGTGATGAGTGGTGGTGATGGTGGTGGCTATGATGATAGTTGTAGTGGTGATGGTGAGGATGGTGGTGATGACGGTGGTGGTGGTGGCTATGATGATAGTTGTTGTGGTGATGGTGATGATGATGGTGATGACAGTGGTGGTGGTGGGGATGGTGGTGGCAGAGATGATAGTTGTAGTGGTGATGGTGAGGATGGTGGTGATGACGGTGGTGGTGGCGGGGATGGTGGTGGCTATGATGATAGTTGTAGTGCTGATGGTAGTGGCGGCGGTGGTAACAACCGGTTCAGCTTACGGTAAACTCCAAGCCACCGTCTCGCTTGACGATTCCCAATTCACGCGCAGACACCGCTGGTTAAAAACAAACCCCCTCCGCCTCTCCCACCCGGCTCTTTCCCGTTGACGAATATTTTCATCGCCAATTTCCTCAAGACAGCCAGGACCTTGCCGTGCCCGGCTCCTCTTCGCCGCCACAGCTTGTGCCCGCCGGGGACGAACTGCACAGGCACAATAGCGGGGTGGTGGTGGTGGTGGTGGTGGCGCGCGCCGGTTTATTCCTTAGACGACGCGCTCTCCTGTCGAGCCTGTGGTGCGGTGTCGAGTCTGCTGCCCACAGACTCCACACTGCCACCCACAGACTCAACACTGCCACCCACAGACTCAACACTGCCACCCACAGACTCAACACTGCCACCCACAGACTCAACACTGCACCACAGACTCAACACTACACCACAGACTCCACACTACACCACAGACTCCACACTGCCACCCACACTCCACACTGCCACCCACAGACTCCACACTGCACCACAGACTCCACACTGCCACCCACAGACTCCACACTGCCACCCACAGACTCAACACTGCCACCCACAGACTCAACACTGCACCACAGACTCCACACTACACCACAGACTCCACACTACACCACAGACTCCACACTGCCACCCACACTCCACACTGCCACCCACAGACTCCACACTGCACCACAGACTCCACACTGCCACCCACAGACTCCACACTGCCACCCACAGACTCAACACTGCCACCCACAGACTCAACACTGCACCACAGACTCCACACTACACCACAGACTCCACACTACACCACAGACTCCACACTGCCACCCACACTCCACACTGCCACCCACAGACTCCACAGTGCCACCCACAGACTCCACACTGCACCACAGACTCCACACTGCCACCCACACTCAACACTGCCACCCACACTCCACACTGCCACCCACAGACTCAACACTGCCACCCACACTCAACACTGCCACCCACAGACTCCACACTGCCACCCACAAGCTCAACACTGCCACCCACAGAATCAACACTGCCACCCACAGACTCAACACTGCCACCCACAGACTCAACACTGCCACCCACAGACTCAACACTGCCACCCACAGACTCCACACTGCCACTCACAGACTCAACACTACCACCCACACTCAACACTACCACCCACACTCAACACTGCCACCCACAGACTCAACACTGCCACCCACAGACTCAACACTGCCACCCACAGACTCAACACTGCCACCCACAGACTCCACACTGCCACCCACAGACTCAACACTGCCACCCACAGACACAACACTGCCACCCACAGACTCCACACTGCCCCACAGACTCAACACTGCACCACAGACTCCACACTGCACCACAGACTCCACACTGCACCACAGACTCAACACTGCCACCCACAGACTCCACGCTGCCACCCACAGACTCCACACTGCCACCCACAGACTCAACACTGCACCACAGACTCAACACTGCCACCCACAGACTCCGCACTGCACCACAGACTCTACACTGCCACCCACAGACTCCACACTGCCACCCACAGACTCAACACTGCCACCCACAGACTCCACACTACACCACAGACTCCACACTGCCACCCACAGACTCCACACTGCCACCCACAGACTCCGCACTACACCACAGACTCCGCACTACACCACAGACTCAACACTGCCACCCACACACTCCACACTACACCACAGACTCCGCACTACACCACAGACTCAACACTGCCACCCACACTCCACATTGCACCACAGACTCCACACTACACCACAGACTCCACACTGCACCACAGACTCCACATTGCACCACAGACTCCACACTACACCACAGACTCAACACTGCCACCCACACTCAACACTGCCACCCACACTCCACATTGCACCACAGACTCAGCACTGCCACCCACAGACTCAACACTGCCACTCACAGACTCCACACTGCACCACAGACTCCACACTACACAGACTCCACACTGCACCACACACTCCACACTACACCACAGACTCCACACTACACCACAGACTCCACACTACACCACAGACTCAACACTGCCACTCACAGACTCAGCACTGCCACCCACAGACTCAACACTGCCACTCACAGACTCCACACTGCACCACAGACTCCACACTACACAGACTCCACACTGCACCACAGACTCCACACTACACCACAGACTCAACACTGCCACTCACAGACTCAGCACTGCCACCCACACTCCACACTGCCACCCACAGACTCCACACTACACCACAGACTCCACACTGCACCACAGACTCCGCGCTGTGTTTCGTTAGTTACCCGCACACCTCCGGCTAGCAGCACGGTCGGGCTAGCCGTGCGGCGGTGCTAATGACGAAGTTCACCAACGCGTACAGCGCTCAGCCCGCTGCACTTGGGCTCCTCACGCGGGGTGGGAATCGTCACGGGGATGCTTGTTGGGGGGTGTTCTCTTGTCGCCGACTTTCGCTTCACGCTGCCCCGGCTTCCTCCCCGTGTGTGTGTGCGTGTGTGCGGGTGTGCGGGTGTGCGGGTGTGTGTGTGTACGTGTGCGTGTGTGTGTACGTTTGCGGGTGTGTGTGCGGGTGTGTGTGTGGGTGTGTGCGGGTGTGTACGTGCGTCTGTGTGTGTGGGTGTGTGTGTACATGTGTGTGTGCGGGTGTACGTGTGTGTGCGTTTGTGTACGTGCGTCTTGTGTGTGTGTGCGGGTGTGTGTGTGTGTGCGGGTGTGTGTGTGTACATGTGTGTGTGCGGGTGTACGTGTGTGTGCGAGTGTGTACATGTGTGTGTGTGCGGGTGTGTGTGGGTGTGTGCGGGTGTGCGGGTGTGTACGTGCGTCTGTGTGTGTGTGGCTGGCGTCCGTGCAGAGCCGTGCCCCCATCTCCGCCAAGCTGGTGGCCAACATGCTGTCCGTCGCCGGGGCTGACCACATCATCACCATGGACCTGCACGCATCACAGATCCAGGCAAGCACGGCGCCCCTCACTCACCTCACTCGCTCACCTCACTCACCTCACTCAGCCACCTCACTCACCTCACTCACTCACCTCACTCACTCACCTCGCTCACATCACTCACATCACTCACATCACTCACCTCACTCACATCACTCACATCACTCACCTCACTCACTCACCTCACTCACTCACCCCACTCACCCCACTCAGCCATCTCACATCACTCACATCACTCACCTCACTCACCTCACTCACTCACCTCACTCACTCACCCCACTCACCCCACTCAGCCATCTCACCTCACTCACTCACATCACTCACCTCACTCACATCACTCACCTCACTCACTCACCTCACTCACATCACTCACATCACTCACATCACTCACCTCACTCACCTCACTCACCTCACCTCACTCACCTCATCTCAGTCACCTCCCTCAGCTCCCTCCCTCCCTCTCCAGGGATTCTTCAACATCCCCGTAGACAATTTGTACTCTGACCATCCCTCCCTCCCTCTCCAGGGATTCTTCAACATCCCAGTAGACAATCTGTACTCTGACCATCCCTCCCTCCCTCCCTCTCCAGGGATTCTTCAACATCCCCGTAGACAATCTGTACTCTGACCATCCCTCCCTCCCTCCCTCCCCAGGGATTCTTCGACATCCCCGTAGACAATTTGTACGCGGAGCCGGCGGTCCTCAAGTGGATCAAGGAGCACATCCCAGAGTGGAAGAACTGCATCATAGTGTCACCTGATGCTGGCGGAGCCAAGAGGTGGGTGGGGTGGGTGGGAGTGGTGGGGGGTGTGGGAGTGGTGGGGGGGTGGGAGTGGTGGGGGGGTGGGAGTGGTGGGGGGGTGGGAGTGGTGGGAGTGGTGGGAGTGGTGGGGTTGTGGGAGTGGTGGGAGTGGTGGGGTTGTGGGAGTGGTGGGGTTGTGGGAGTGGTGGGGGTGGTGGGGGGGTGGGAGTGGTGAGTGGTGGGGGTGGTGGGGTTGTGGGAGTGGTGGGAGTGGTGGGGGGGGGAGTGGTGAGTGGTGGGGGTGGGAGTGGTGGGGGGGTGGGAGTGGTGGGTGGGGGGGTGGGAGTGCAGTCGTGGAGGCGGTTGCCGTGGTGGTAACGTGATGGTGGAGGTGATGGCTACTGTGATGGAGGTGATGGCTACTGTGATGGTGGTGATGGCTACTGTGGTGGAGGTGATGGCTACTGTGATGGTGGTGATGGCTACTGTGATGGAGGTGATGGCTACTGTGATGGTGGTGATGGCTACTGTGGTGGTGGTGATGGCTACTGTGGTGGAGGTGATGGCTACTGTGGTGGAGGTGATGGCTACTGTGGTGGAGGTGATGGCTACTGTGATGGTGGTGATGGCTACTGTGGTGGAGGTGATGGCTACTGTGGTGGAGGTGATGGCTACTGTGATGGTGGTGATGGCTACTGTGATGGAGGTGATGGCTACTGTGATGGTGGTGATGGCTACTGTGGTGGTGGTGATGGCTACTGTGGTGGAGGTGATGGCTACTGTGGTGGAGGTGATGGCTACTGTGGTGGAGGTGATGGCTACTGTGATGGTGGTGATGGCTACTGTGGTGGAGGTGATGGCTACTGTGGTGGAGGTGATGGCTACTGTGATGGTGGTGATGGCTACTGTGGTGGTGGTGATGGCTACTGTGATGGAGGTGATGGCTACTGTGATGGAGGTGATGGCTACTGTGATGGTGGTGATGGCTACTGTGGTGGTGGTGATGGCTACTGTGGTGGAGGTGATGGCTACTGTGGTGGAGGTGATGGCTACTGTGATGGTGGTGATGGCTACTGTGGTGGAGGTGATGGCTACTGTGATGGTGGTGATGGCTACTGTGATGGAGGTGATGGCTACTGTGATGGTGGTGATGGCTACTGTGGTGGTGGTGATGGCTACTGTGGTGGAGGTGATGGCTACTGTGGTGGAGGTGATGGCTACTGTGGTGGAGGTGATGGCTACTGTGGTGGTGGTGATGGCTACTGTGGTGGAGGTGATGGCTACTGTGGTGGTGGTGATGGCTACTGTGGTGGAGGTGATGGCTACTGTGGTGGTGGTGATGGCTACTGTGGTGGTGGTGATGGCTACTGTGGTGGTGGTGATGGCTACTGTGGTGGTGGTGATGGCTACTGTGGTGGAGGTGATGGCTACTGTGGTGGTGGTGATGGCTACTGTGGTGGAGGTGATGGCTACTGTGGTGGAGGTGATGGCTACTGTGGTGGTGGTGATGGCTACTGTGGTGGTGGTGATGGCTACTGTGGTGGTGGTGATGGCTACTGTGGTGGTGGTGATGGCTACTGTGGTGGTGGTGAGGTGGTGATGGTGGTGATGGCTACTGTGGTGGTGGTGATGGCTACTGTGGTGGAGGTGATGGCTACTGTGATGGAGGTGATGGCTACTGTGATGGTGGTGATGGCTACTGTGGTGGAGGTGATGGCTACTGTGGTGGAGGTGATGGCTACTGTGGTGGAGGTGATGGCTACTGTGGTGGTGGTGATGGCTACTGTGGTGGTGGTGATGGCTACTGTGGTGGTGGTGATGGCTACTGTGGTGGTGGTGATGGCTACTGTGGTGGTGGTGGTGGTGGTGATGGTGATGGTGGTGAGGTGGTGATGGTGGTGATGGTGGTGATGGCTACTGTGGTGGTGGTGATGGCTACTGTGGTGGAGGTGATGGCTACTGTGGTGGTGGTGATGGCTACTGTGGTGGTGGTGATGGCTACTGTGGTGGTGGTGATGGCTACTGTGGTGGTGGTGATGGCTACTGTGGTGGTGGTGATGGCTACTGTGGTGGTGGTGATGGCTACTGTGGTGGAGGTGATGGCTACTGTGATGGAGGTGATGGCTACTGTGGTGGTGGTGATGGCTACTGTGGTGGAGGTGATGGCTACTGTGATGGAGGTGATGGCTACTGTGATGGAGGTGATGGCTACTGTGGTGGAGGTGATGGCTACTGTGGTGGAGGTGATGGCTACTGTGATGGAGGTGATGGCTACTGTGATGGTGGTGATGGCTACTGTGATGGTGGTGGTGGTGGTGATGGTGATGGTGGTGAGGTGGTGATGGTGGTGATGGCTACGGTGGTGGTGGTGATGGCTACTGTGATGGTGGTGGTGGTGGTGATGGTGGTGGTGATGGTGGTGGTGGTGATGGTGGTGATGGTGGTGATGGTGGTGGTGGTGGTGATGGTGATGGTGGTGGTGATGGTGGTGATGGTGGTGGTGGTGATGGTGGTGATGGTGGTGGTGGTGATGGTGGTGGTGGTGGTGATGGTGGTGGTGGTGGTGATGGTGGTGGTGGTGGTGATGGCTACTGTGGTGGTGGTGGTGATGGTGATGATGGCTACGGTGGTGGTGGTGGTGGTGATGGCTACGGTGGTGGTGATGGCTACGGTGGTGGTGGTGGTGGTGATGGTGGTGGTGATGATGGTGGTGGTGGTGGTGGTGATGGTGGTGGTGATGGTGGTGGTGGTGCTGGTGGTGATGGTGGTGGTGATGGTGGTGCTGGTGGTGGTGGTGATGGTGGTGATGGTGGTGGTGATGGTGGTGCTGGTGGTGGTGGTGATGGTGGTGATGATGGTGGTGGTGGTGATGGTGGTGGTGATGGCTACTGTGATGGTGGATTGTCGCTGTGACGGTGAAGCCCGCTGCTGCTGACCGTACCGTTTCCTCTCTCTCCATCTCCCGCTCTCTCTCTCTCGCCCCCTCTCTCTCTCACCTCCTCTCTCTCTCTCACCTCTCTCTCTCACCTCCTCTCTCTCTCACCTCCTCTCTCTCTCACCTCTCTCTCTCTCTCACCTCTCTCTCTCACCTCCTCTCTCTCTCTCACGCCCTCTCTCTCTCACCTCCTCTCTCTCTCTCACCTCCTCTCTCTCTCTCTCGCCCCCTCTCTCTCACTTCCTCTCTCTCTCACCTCCTCTCTCTCTCACCTCCTCTCTCTCTCACCTCCTCTCTCTCTCACCTCCTCTCTCTCTCACCTCCTCTCTCTCTCACCTCCTCTCTCTCTCACCTCCTCTCTCTCTCACCTCCTCTCTCTCTCACCTCCTCTCTCTCTCACCTCCTCTCTCTCTCGCCCCCTCTCTCTCTCACCTCCTCTCTCTCTCACCTCACCTCTCTCTCTCTCTGTCTCTCTCCCCCACCCCCCAGGGTGACGTCTATCGCCGACCGCCTCAACGTGGACTTTGCCCTCATCCACAAGGAGCGCAAGAAGGCCAACGAGGTGGACCGCATGGTGCTGGTGGGGGACGTGAAGGATCGCATCGCCATCCTCGTGGACGACATGGCCGACACCTGCGGCACCATCTGCCACGCCGCCGACAAGTGAGGAGAGGAGGGAGGGGAGGAGGGAGGGGAGGGAGGAGAGGAGGGAGGGGAGGGAGAGGAGGGAGGGGAGGGAGGGGAGGGAGGGGAGGGAGGAGAGGGAGGGGAGGGAGGAGAGGGAGGGGAGGGAGGAGAGGGAGGGGAGGGAGTTGAGTGTGTGGGATCACGGGGATCAATGCACAGATAACCACGACAACAGCAGCAACAAAAAAGCAGCTCTGAAGAATGAGCTCTCAATGTAGTGTGGTGTGGTGTAGTGTACCGTGTAGTGTACCGTGCAGTATGGTGTGGTGTAGTGTACCGTGTAGTGTACCGTGTAGTATGGTGTGGTGTAGTGTACCGTGTAGTTTGGTGTGGTGTAGTGTACCATGTAGTGTACGGTGCAGTGTAGTGTGTAGTGTACCATAGTCTGTGCGCATGTGTGTGTGTAACCGTGTGTGTGTGTAACCGCGTTTGTGTGTAACTGTGTGTGTGTAACTGTGTGTGTAACTGTGTGTGTAACTGTGTGTATAACCGTGTGTGTGTATAACCGTGTGTGTGTGTAACCGTGTGTGTGTGTAACTGTGTGTGTAACCGTGTGTGTAACCGCGTGTGTGTGTGTGTGTAACTGTGTGTGTGTAACTGTGTGTGTGTGTAACTGTGTGTGTGTGTAACTGTGTGTGTGTGTAACTGTGTGTGTGTGTAACTGTGTGTGTGTGTGTAACTGTGTGTGTGTGTAACCGCGTGTGTGTGTGTGTGTAACTGTGTGTGTGTGTGTAACTGTGTGTGTGTGTAACTGTGTGTGTGTGTAACCGTGTGTGTGTGTGTAACCGCGCGTGTGTGTGTGTGTAACCGCGTGTGTGTGTGTAACTGTGTGTGTGTAACTGTGTGTGTGTAACTGTGTGTGTGTAACTGTGTGTGTAACTGTGTGTGTGTGTGTGGTAGTGTAGTGGTTAGCGCTACGCTGAGCTACGAACCTTGTGACCCGAGTTCGACTCCCGCTCACGGCCAACACCGCCGGTGACGATTACCTGAACCGGTCCCTGGGCCAACCCCTCCCCAGGGTCGTCTCGGCCTCAAATAAGTACCTGGTGCGGTGTGCTGTAGCAGTGAACGTCGCTAGCACTGGGGGAGAGACAAAGGCGGCCGGGCGTGGTGGTGGTGGTGGTGGTGCTGGTGCTGGTGGCCACGCACCACCTCTGCGTGTACCACAGTGCCGGTAGCCTTCACAGACGCTGCTGCTGCTACTCGCTGCCGACAGCACTTGCCCCAGCGGTCTGTCGGAGGCTACACGGGGGACCTTTGTCTGCGTGCGTCAGGCTGATATCGGCCGGAGCCACCAAGGTGTACGCCATCCTCACGCATGGCATCTTTTCGGGGCCGGCCATCTCGCGCATCAACAACGCCGCCTTCGAGGCCATCGTGGTGACCAACACTATCCCCCAGGAGGACAAGATGAAGCACTGCCCCAAGATACAGGTGTGGAAGTGGTGGGGGGTGGTGGGGGGGGAGGGAGGTGTGGAGGTGTGGTGGGGGGGGAGGTGGGGGGGAGGGGAGGTGTGGGGGGGAGGGGAGGGAGGGTGGAGGTGTGGTGGGGGGAGGTGGGGGGAGAGGGTGGAGGTGGGGGGAGAGGGTGGAGGTGGGGGGAGAGGGTGGAGGTGGGGGGAGAGGGTGGAGGTGGGGGGAGAGGGTGGAGGTGGGGGGAGAGGGTGGAGGTGGGGGGAGAGGGTGGAGGTGGGGTAGTGGGGGG